AATCAATTATAATTTTTTTGCGTTAGATCTGCTAAACTGTCTATTATTTAATTGAAACGCTGAAAATTTTAGTGCGACCAATAGCATTGATGAAAATCAAATATGTACCTCCAAATCAACAAAACATCCATTTGTTTATTAAAAGTATAGCATTAATAGTTTGAAAATTCGCATTGCCAATACGTGACATTTCTAAATGTATTTTGAATATCAAGCTGTCAAAGTCATCTAAAATGTCTGTCAACTCAATAAGGAACGCTGATAAAAGCGTAGAAATTTCAAATTGTTGACTTTGACATTTATTAATTTCGTTCTGAGTTAGAAACACTAATTGAATTTGATTTAAATAAGCTACTATAATTTTGGAAATGGGCGCAYTAACTGTGCAAGAAAAAATTGAAATTATTTTGGYATACGTAGAAGCCGGCCGATATACTTTCAATAAACAAATAGATGTTTTGTTGATTTGGAGGTACATATTTGATTTTCACGATCAAACAATTTTCGGACTGAATATTCCTCTGACATTAATAGATGCTATTGGTCACACTAAAATTTTTCAAATTTGCGCACATTTCAATTAAGCGTTTCAATAAAACAATAGCTCAGCAGATCTAAAGCAAAAAAATTGATAATTGATGGATTACAGCGCCACCTGTCAAAATCGAAGAAACAGTTTTAGATAAATTATTCCTAGTTTTTGATGTACTACTCGAATGTCCAATAAAATATTCTGGTTACCATTTGAATTTCTCAAGTTGACCCCTGCCTAGCCTAAAAGGTCGAAGTAGGCGTTTTTTTTCTGACACGAGTAAACTTTCCTCTCAGAAAACATTTTTTCCTCGGATCACTCGTTTCTGAAATATTTAAGCCTTTCAAGATAAAAACATCACCCTGTATATAATTTTATTAAAAACATATAAGTATAAGAATATGAATATAGGGACATGGAATATATTAAAAACGTAAATAACTAAAAGTAAACAAAAGACAAAGTTTTAATACTATAAATTTTTTTTTAAAGTTCTATTAACCTTAAATTTTGGCAATTATCGGAAATAATTCTATATATTTTCCACGGTTGCCATATCYCTAAGTTTTAACTAAGCCACCGCTAAATTTCARCGGTGCTTAGCAACTGGATTCTTAAATCAGATTAGTTCTTAAACGTGTTTARTGAATCGCGATTGGATTTGATTGGAAAGAGGTATTTTTTGTATCTYTAACTGCTTTTTTTGCKTCCACAATKACTTTTTAGATACCATGTTTTTAAGCAAAATTTTACTAAAATGGCGATAATCTGCCAACGTCGCAAGTAAGAAAAAAACACTACGGTGCATATACAGTGTTTCAAGCTGCATTCCATGAGCTAATGAAAAATGGCTAGTTCTATTTAAAAAAATACACTTTGATCTTGCCTCGCTTTTTCCAGACACTGTATCATATAAGATGTTTTTAAAATGTGCGCACTTTGTGGGTCAAAAACTTTTATATGCGACTATTTTTCGAAAGTACAAAACCATCGGAAATAATGGACTCTATAGCACTAAAAAACCACCCTGTGAGCCAATCTAATTTTAAGCAACTGGCACTAAAGTCGAGCTTTAAAAACCTCCCACACTGCAACCCACAATACTTAGCCAATTAGCGTAGTTTAAACAAACAGCAACAACTTGGCAACGTCGAGCCGGTTCAAGCGATCTACTGTTTCGTACGAAAGTCACCAGTCTGACTCAGAAAGTCAGCTGTGTTTCGCCCGTCTTGTCTTATTTTCACTACTGTTCGGGACAGAAATGGCTGCCTTGTGTCCAGGTGCTCTATATGGGCTGTCTTCACAACATAGTCTGGAAAATAAAGAGCTAATTTTTCTGAAATTAACTGATTCTGCAGTGCGTGCAATAGAGGAATACCTAAAAATCGAGGTAAGTTTTTTTTGTCGAAATAATGTAATACAATCTGTTGTCTTCCAAGAGATAATGGTTTTTAGTCGCCATATTCAGACAAATAAATACCCCTTTTACATTTAAACGTTTATCTCTACTATATGTTTGAACAATATGATGTAAATAATGGTTCAAGTGAGTGCATCTTCATGCTAGACTGATCAAATTCTTCCTTAAGGTTCTTCTAGATAGCTCTCGCCACGTCAACATATTTATTAGTTTTTCTAAAATATGCACCAAAATTATGCATAGGGCTTGTGCCCTAATCATTCCTCTAAGGTTTTGTCACATGCCTACGATTTTACATAAGTATATAATGAGAAACAATTGAAATATTACATTCAAACAAGGATATGAAAGCAGACTTTGTGGCCAAAAACTTTCCCTACTTGATCTATTTATTCCACTATTAATCAGACTAATATTGGAATTATTTGGTCACATTAATGGTTAGAATGAATTCTAAACCTGACTAATCGCAAATGCTTAAACAATTAACAAAATGCACTTTGTTTTGAGAAGAAAACTGAGGTAAGAATGTTCATGTCATTTTTCACGAAGGTTTTTTTCTCAGTTATTACAGGTAGAAGGTCCAATAACGTTTAATCTGTACTAATTTTAGCAAACCATAATACCTATTGAGAATTAAACAGATTTCTCGGAGACTGTTCTCTGAATTTAAAAATAAACTCAAGCTTGAAAAATAGAATAGAAGTACTGTAGTGCAGGTATAACTTACATGTACTATTAAATCATGCAATTTGGTACTCACTCATCCAAATTATCCATTTTCCGATTTTTCTTAATTGACACGTGATCGTTGTAAATATAGAAGTCCCATTATCTAAAGCTGATATAAGTAAAGACAGGATTTTAAGCATTTTGCTTATTGCTGAATTTTATAAGCTACCGTAAGATTATTTAATTTCTAAACGAATTATACCAAACTAAGTATATTGCGATAGCTTTTATTATGCTTTTGTTGCTTTTTTTAAGTTTTCATGCTTTTTTTTCGTTCGTGCTTATTTTAACTTTTTTCCGCATATTTAAATAATTTAAAAAATAGTACCAAACATTATACGCGAATAAATGTCCATATAAAGAAAATTTGGCAACTTTGCAAGGCGTCACGTGATTCCCCGAAAAATCAGTTCGCCCTTAGGTTATTCCCCAAAGTTAAGTATTGCGCTATGCCAAGACTTTTGTTATTTATTTAGTTAGTTACGACGAGGTGCTCTGGTCTCCAGTTTGTTTGCATCGTCTGTACTTGGATTTAATTAGCTGTACGTGGTAACTACTTAAACAATGCCAAAGCAAAAGCCAGCCATTGAAGAGTAGATTAAGGGTCACAAAGAACTAAAAATTGACAATAAAAATATATTTTGCAAAGCATGTTCTAAAACTGTAAGTAAAAATTCGCAAATTCTTATTCTTGTCTTTGTTTCCTGTTTAAAATATCATTTTATCTTTCTGAATTTTTTGACTTTTAAGAGGTTTCCTTTTTGACATTAGTTAAACGACTTTAAAATACAGTATAAAAAAAATAGGTTTTAATAAATTTTAAAATAGGAGTAGATAATATTTTCTTATTTTATTGCAGATTGTTTGTAAAAAAAATACGACGTAACTCAGCATTTAAAAACTGAACAGCACATTAAAAAATATGAGGAAAATCAAAATAAGCAACAGCTAGCTTCAAATTCTCGTTTTAATGAACAAAAACAATTTCATTTTGATTTATGCAGTGCTATGGTTAAATCAGACATTCCTTTGAATAAATTACATAGTAGTTCGTTTAGACAATTTCTAGAAAAATATTGTGAAAAAAGCAT